ATCTAGGATTTAAATTACGTCGTAAAAAATTTACTATTGAAACTTTTCATCTACCGCCTGAAGGTGGTATTAATGAACGACGTGTTGGTCCTGAAACGAATAAGTCTGTGAAGAAGAAGGAGGAGGATGATAAAAGTAAACCGGGTATTGGTAGTGGATGTGGTACTATACCAGGAAGAAAAGTTGATCCATATGATTTCTAATTCAAAAGAATTATTTTTATATTCAATTAATTTAGCAACACGGGTAAAACTTAGACATTACAATTATTTTATAAAAAAAAAAAAAGGATTAAATAAATTAATAATGAAACTTTATTGTAATATTTTTCGGTCGGGTTCGTTTTTCTTTATATAAAGAACTAACTGAATAAATAATAAATTTACATTATCATCTTCTTCAGTTATACTTAAATTTATAGAAAAACTTATAAAAAATTATAAATTTGTTTTAATATCTAAAAAAATCGATATTAAAATTATTATATAATTCGGAAAATTAATTTTAATTAAATTTTTAATTAAAAATTCTAAATTAATAATTAATGGAAATATGTACTGTTTAAATAAAGATAAAATTCAAATATTTTTTCAGATTTTAATACATGTTGAAAATGTTTTTGTCTTATATCTACCATCATATTAAATTTGATATTATCTTTAAAAAAATTATATAGATCCTTGCTTTTTCTTTTAATTTGTTTAAAATTAAAAGAATGATCTTGTATATAATTATATATAAATTTGGCTACATGATAATGTTTTTCTTCAAGAGTAGGTAATATATATTTATTATGTCTCCGCATTGTCATGCAACCTCTATATATCGAATAGGTATGATGGGAATTTTTTTTGAAAAAGAAATTCTTAATTATATCTTTAAAATTATTCATCATATAATTCAATTCTAAATTGAGTTTTTCAAATAATTCATTTCTTTTATCTAAAAAGAAACTTTTTTTATCAAAAAAGTTTTTTATAATTAAACCTAATATATATAATTCATTATTTATTAATTGGTAAAATAAAACAATTTTCTGAATTATTTATTTTAAAATAATTATTAATTGGATACTTATTAATATCTCAATTATATTTTTTAATTAAATTTTGTAAATTTTGTATATTGTTTTCAATGTTTAAGGAAATTATATAACCTATATCTAATTCTTTAACTTTTTGATCATATTTTTTTAATACTTTTTGATCATTTTTATTCATAAAAATAGATACCGAGGTAGAGGTAGATGTAGAAGTCAAAGCAGAAGCAAAAGTAGAAGTAGAGGTAGAAGTAGAGGTAGAAGTAGAAGTAGAAGTAAAGGCTAAGGTAGAAGAAATGGTAAAAGTAGGGATAAAAATAGAAGTAAAAAGTTCATTTAAATTACCATTTTAATATGAAGATATTATTTTTATTTGTTTGTTAAGTAAAAGTTCTGTTAAAAGGTATAAATAATTTGGAATTGCTTTAGCTTTCATAAAAGTTAAAGAGTATTTATTTTTTTTAATTTCAATTAATTGAGTAGTTATAATATTTATTTTTTTTTTGAAAAAATTTGTTTAAAAGAAAATAATATAAATTATAGCTTTATCTTACTATAAATTATATTAAGAAAAAAATAAATACAAAATTCAGCTTTATTTCACTGAAAAATTACACCTATTTATAGAAAAAGAGAGCTTACATAGGAGAAATAATCTGATCTCAAAACCATGTAAAATTATTCCTATACTTTGAGCTCTATTCAAATAAAATAAATAAAATTATGATTTATGATTAAAAGTTCTTTAAATAAAATTATTTTGAATAATTGATTTTACTATTTTAGTATAATAATTAATAAATTGTATTATAACAATCTGAAATTCTACAAAAAAATATTATTTGATATTTTGGTAGCCTATAAATGGCAAATGTATCATTTTTGATTTACTTGGTCTAATTATTACACCAATGCATAATTGATAGTAAATTCACAGGTAATCGTTGATTACCTGTGAAGTTACGATATAATTATTCAGTTCTGATCATGATAAAATTTTATTTGCTTTCTTTCTCTTTCTACTTCCCCTTCCTTTTACCATTTATACATTTTTTATTATGCCAAAAGCAAAACAAAAACCATTTGTAAAGGTATATATTATCTTTAAAGCTATTTATTTTTAAACAATTTTTAGCAATATTTAAATTTTATTTTTATTAGCCAACTTTTAAATACAATGAACCCAGTATTAAAGAAATACAAGCAATAGTTAGTTCTAGCCGTTGTCCTTCAACTGATAAGTCTACCAACAACTGGATTATACAATTAGAAAAGTTTTGAAAAGATATAAATTTAAATGGAAAAATTGAAGAAATTGATAATGAAAAGGAACTTGAAGAACAAATCATTAAATTTATTATAGCAATGCGAACAGTTAATGGAAAAGATTATAAAGCACAATCTGTCAAAGTTGGAGTTTATGCTATTGCACGACATTTATCTGAACATTTTGTAATCCATCGAGTAAATATATTAAATCAAGAGAAATTCTATAAGTTATGGCAAGTAATTAATGGAAAATTTAAATAACTTGCAAGGCAGGGACTAGGTGAACGAAGAGCTGCTTCTCCTTTAAGTGAAAGTAAAGTTGCTATGATTTTTAAACATCCTCAATTGGATAAATCTATACCAGAAGGGTTATTATATCGTGTTTTTTTCAGAAATGCAATTTTTTTATTGTTTAGAGGAGGCAAGCATTATAAATTATTAGCATCAAATTTTAAGAAAAAGAATGATGGTAGTTTTACTGTTTGTTTTTATGAATCAAAAGCAAATCAGAGAAATATAAATTGATCTGAAGCACAAGCTGATATTCTGTATATCTCAGGTGATGATCCTAATATAATACAGGAATACGATGATTACTTCAAAAAAAGACCAGTTGATTCTGATTTGCAGTTTTATTTACAGCCAAATTCTTTAGAATATAGTAAATATTTTATTATTCTTTTAATTTTATTAAAATCTAATTTTATTATTTTTAATATAGCACAAAGGACTGGAATCTGATTCAAGAATCACACATTAGACAAAATCGTCTTCGTTCATTTATGAGTGATATATGCTAAAATCGGTAGAAACTGACAGACCTGTCGAATATGACATATATGCCAAATCTGCCAAATCTGCCAAATCTGCTAAATCTTCCAAATAGAACACGAATATTATTTATTATATCTTTATTATATCTGTTGTTTATATCATTTATTATATATTTAACATAATTAGCATATCTGTTAGCTC